CATAATTCCCTCGGGTTCTTTTTTTTTTTTTAAACCTATGTGAAATAATTTCAATACCACAGCAAGTTCCCTCAAATGGACACTAATTTTCTCCTTTGGCTTTTCGTAAGCCACATGAGAACCTCCAGACTTTGGACCGAGGCCTGCAAAGGCAAGGATGAACATTACCTTTGATTCCAGGGCACTAAGGAGAGAAATAACAGGCATCCAGACTCTTGAGCAGAGCCCATGCTGGATGGAGACATTGCAAGACAAAAGAAAGTTAGGACACAGGACACTCCTTTTAAAATGAGAATTGTTATTTTGTCCAGTAACACTACTCCAAGTATGGATTTAATTTCCTATAGAAATAAAAAAAATCCATAAAACCCTAAATGCGGTCCAATTAATTTCACTATATTTTATTAAAATCAAAAGATTTCAGACTGCTTTAGGAAAACTCTTAATGCATAATAATTAGGTAACTGACTGCTATAAAGGAAAGGATTTTCTTCTTTCTTTTCCCTTACTCATTTGGCTTATACTCTGATGTATGGAGATCAGAAGCCTTACATATCCTACTTTATGCATTTTGAAATACTTTTATTACCCATACAAATACCTATTTATGTATACCACTGTGCTTCGATAGTATCTTGCCTCATTAAATTCTACATATTTTTTGCATGTACAAAGAGCATATTCTTTTGGCACTTTAATTTTCCTGTCACTCAAATTCATTATATGTTGTATAATAGAAGCCTCCCCACCTCCTCAGTATTTTTCAGTGCTGTTTTTTGTACTTGTTGCAAATAAGCATTTCTAGTCTTTTCAGTATCTCACTGAATAGAAGAAATATTGTTCTTTTGACCATAGCTATCTCTTTTCACAGAATCACAGAATGGTTGAGGTTGGAAGAGACCTCTAGAGATCATTTAGTCCAACCCCCCTGCTCCAGCAGGGACACTTAGAGCACATGGCACAGGGTGGCATCCAGGCAGGTTTGGAAGATCTCCAGAGAAGGAGACTCCACAACCTCTCTGGGCAGCCTGTTCCAGGGCTCTGTCACCCTCACAGGAAAGAAGCTCTTCCTCACATGGAGATGGAACTTTCCATATTTGAATTTATATCCATTACCCCTTGTTCTGTCTCTGGCCACCACTGAGAAGAGCCTGGCCCCATCCTCCCTACATTCACCCCTCAGGTACTTGAACATGTTGATCAAATCTCCTCTCAGCCTTCTTTTCTCCAGACTAAACAGGCCCAGATCGCTTAGTCTTTCCTCATAGGACAAATGCTCCAGTCCCTTAATCATCTTCATGGCTCTCCGCTGGACCCTCTCTAGAAGCTCCATGTCCCTCTTGTCCTGGGGAGCCCCGAACTGCACACAGTACTCCAGGTGCAGCCTCACCAGAGTTGAGTAGAGGGGCAGGATCCCCTCCCTCAACCTGCTGGCGATGCTCCTCCTGATGCAGGCCAGGATCCCATTGGCCTTATTGGTCATGAGGGCACATTGCTGCCTCATGGTTAACTTGTTGTCCATTTAAGATGACTTGTCACCTTTTTTTAAAGATGAATGCTGAATTGTGTGTCCTAAAGCGAATATGTATATTAATTTGATTTATATAGTATGCTACCTTTATTTAAGAAATTCCTATCCCAGTTTTTTATATTCCTCACTAAAATTAGAATGTCCAGTAATGTAGCACAAATAACAAATAAAATGCCCCAAAAGACAAAAGCGAAGTGGATCTCACTGTTAAATAATACTTCATATGATTTAACCAAAAGCAGTATCCAGTAATAACTGCTTCTTGCTGTCTCAGACATCAAATATTCATGTGCTCATTGTATTTAGCAAAATTCTGTTCATTTTTTCCTCTAGCAAAAGGTGAGTAATCCAACATCGGTCATATAAG